TGTCTCTCTGGGGCGCGCATACATACACAGACCAACTTGCGAGCACGCGCCTCTCTCACAGCCCGCTCTATTTATGGACGGAGAATCAATCTCTGGAAGTTGATGGAAAGACCGCGGTGAAAATGACATTGGGTAAGGTAGGGGAGATGAAGGAGGGGGAGGGGACGGGCCAGGCCAGAAATCCCTTCCAGGCCACGATAAACAAATGATAATTACCACCGTAGTCTAACAAAAGTTCTAAGCCGTTAGTTATACAAAAAATTCACTGGTAAAACAAGTGTTTAATGTTGCACGCCAATTTGCATTGTGGTCTTTAACTAGGTTAAACGTCAATTGGTGTTTAAACTTTCGACTCTTCCGAGCTGCACACCAGATGGTTGCTATAGACTTGTATGTGTCAAATTGTGTAGCTTGAGTTAGACACCAGGTAATGTTTAAAAATCATAACTTGCACACGTTGGTGTTTAAATTTTGCACACTTGTTTTATCAGTGTGTGTCTTAAAATCCTATTCTTCACTCTAACGGTATTCGTATATTTTTGTGCAAACGGTCATGCTAAGTTAAACCTACGTTTCGTTTAAGACAAATATGTTGGAAAAAATGAATGATTTTCTATCCCCAAAAATGCACAAAAATGTTAAAATGAACGGAGAAAATTGTGCATGAAAAGGCTTAACTTTGTACAATTAAAAGAGTTGTTTGCTTGCTTTATACGGCGAAAAGTAACAATTTATTCTTAGTAAAAAGGAAACGGAGAGCGAGTCACACTCATAGGACGGTTTCGTACTCCACTTTGAATGCAGTTACCGCCTCGCAGTCCGCTTGCCAGCAGAATACGTGCGAAAGGTAGAGGATTTGGGGGTGGGGGTGGGGGGCGAAAAGAGCGCGTGTCAGGTGCCGCGCGGCTTCCACTCTGCTGCAGCATGTGCTGTGTACGACGTTCCTGTCGTCGTTCGTGTTGCAGTCAGCAGGCGGGCTAGGTCTATGCTCGCCAGCGAGCGCATGCCCTGGCCCTGAGGGGAGGAGCCACCGATATTTTGAGAATGCCTCTTTCTCCCTTTCCCAATCTCTTCTTTTTAGGTGAGAGTATTACTGAAATAGATGTTTCCATTTAATGTACCGGCTGTAACTGTGAATACGCAGTGTTGCGGGTTTGCATACTCAATTTGGCTATGGCCCCTGACGGGTGTAAAGAGTAGGCAAACCCGCAACACTGCTGCGTATTCACAGTTACACCCTGTACAGTAGCTTTATACGGTAGTGTATTCTACGTTCAGACGTTGACTATGCCGAAGAAAAGAACTCCGTGTGGGGCTTGTAGTTTTAGAGTTTTTGGAAACTTTTTGAAGTGCTTAGCAGCTTAATTCTTCGGCATTAAATTTGGCAATAGAAAGTTGAGTAATACTTAGTATTCAGAAAGGACCAAGGTACAACTTCTCTGACCACAATTTTAATATTAAGTCCGACTAAGACGTATTTTATGAGCACCATTAAAATCATCTACACAAAGTACCTTTACTGTGAAAAAATAAAAATCTTAAGCAAAAGGTTTTTAAAACGTTTAAGAATTTTGACCTAATATCATTCCATTTGTTATGAAAAGTACAAATTAAAGGCGGATACTTCATACTCTATTGAGAATTATCTCATAAACAACTGAGGGTAAACAAAAGTAAAAAATATCTATGAAAATTAGTCTGCATAGTAGATATGTACTAGCGTTTTCCTGTTGATGATGGTTTAAATCCAGAATAAAATAAAATCCCAGTAAAGCCTCCCCTTAAAGCGAACTACCGCAACAGTCCGCAGCTGCGTTTTCCAGAAAGAGAGTGAGAGAGAGAGAGAGAGAGAGAGAGAGAGAGAGAGAGAGAGGCAGGGGGGAATTGGGCAGTCGTTTTAAACAAACAGGGAGGGCAGCGTCCACACGGTCGGTCGCTGTCTGTTTGTTTCTCTCACACACGCACACGATCCGCCGTGCGTGGTCTGGTCGTTTGGTGGGATACTCCTCAAACTATTCGAATCAGTCCACACGTCTAGACTAGGCGAATGAACTTGAACCGAGCACGGACACGCAGAGATTTGTTTGTTTGTTTGTTTGTTTGTTTGTTTGTTTGTTTGTTTGTTTGTTTGTTTGTTTGTTTGTTTGTTTGTTCTCTTGTTTTTTACAGATGGTTGGAGTGGAGTGATTGAGGGAGCCTACTGTCCCAGGGAGGATCTGGTAGAGTTCCCGGGAAACTCACAGCGCAAGTGACAAAGTAAGTGAGCAACTAATCAACACTAAGCACTACTTGTAAGTGTGCACCTGCAAGTTTAATACTCGCGCCTTGTATTGGGTGCTTACTGTGAGGGAAAAGTTCAACAGAGAAGTTGCACTCTTAAAAGTGCAAAATAACGACCGAGTTGAACACTTGCAAGAAGTATTCAACTGCAGAGCCATACTTACAAGTGGTGAGCAGTTGCACACTTGGTAGCAGTGCATGAGGTAACTGTGCCCAGGGAGTGTGCCCAGGATAGACACCGGGACCGGGGGCGGGATGGTGGAGCCCACCTATAGCAGCGCCAGGGCCCTACTGCTTCCATGTGAAACTGTATGCCAAACACACATGAATGGCGTATGTGTGTCTGTGTCCACCTAACCTCGCGTCAGGCTGTGCTGCACGGTGCGCACTTTCCAGCAGCGGAGTTTTTCCTGGTCCGAGTCACTTGCCCAGTAACTTTCCCGGGAACCCCGGACACTCAGTACGGCAGTAGTCTCTCCCACTCGCCGCACTTTCCAAGGACGGTCCTTGCATATTGCCAAAATCCATTAGCATACGGCTCTTCAAGGGCCGTCCTCAAATCCTACCGATGGTCCTCGGAAACGTCAAAAACGACCTTGGAAAACAAGGGTCGGCGCTGACCTGACGGCTGCAGAAAAACAGCTTGTGCAAGACATGGAACGCACGCCAGTAACAGTACATACTGCCACACCACTCACATGAATAATGTCCTTAAGCATTATTTGCAACACAGTGTAATGCAAGCACTGATCAGAAAGCAAACACGTAACTGACACGTAGAGGTTTAAAACAAAACGCGCCGTGACCTCCCGCCTAAAGCACAAGCTCACCCTGAAGTCTACGCCGACGGTGGAGATGAAGTTGCCGCTGAGGAAGTATCCGTTCTGGAAGCGCACTAGTAGACACGTCTTGCCGACTCCCGAGTCCCCGAGCAGCATCACCTGTACAGGCCCGACAAGGGCGAGGGCTCCGGGTTAGGGGCGCCTGTGACGCGGCGGGTGTAGGCATCGCGCGGTGGGCTTCTCTGCTGAGGTCTTTGCCCGCCGGGATTTTATTGCATTCGTCAGAAGGGAGAAGTCAAAGCCAGCGGCGAACAAACGCACGCTGTCTTCGGCCTCATGCGCGACTGGGTTTTCCAAAGTTAAATGGTTTACTTTTCAGCTGAGCGATAGCAAGGCATATTACTTCACCGGTTTATTTTTTGTGACAAGTTTCGATCTCCGGATTAGTCTGAAAAGCACCCAGGAACTTAAAGAAAGACCCTGTCCGTGTGTGGTCGCTTCCACCTTTCTGACATGTCCCTTCCGGGACCTCCGGTACCTTGCAGACCAAGTCGTAGTCTTCACTGGGGCCGCGGGAAGGCGCTCTGGACGGTGTCCTCGACTGTGTCCTGGACGGCGTCCGGGAGAGCGGCGGGGGCGACGCCGCCGCCGCCGCCGCAGTCGCGGGGGACGGGGGGAAGAACACCTGCTGCTGCGAGGAGGTGGACGACGCCGACCTGGGCGGGCTGGCGGTGAGGGGCGCGGGCGGTGGCACGGGCACGGCGGCCAGCGCCGAGATGGCCGCGTCAGCCGCGTTGAGTCGCTGCTGCTGCTCCTGTTGCTGCTGCTGCTGCTGTTGCTGGCGCCGCTTCAGGGAGGGCGTGCGCTGGATGTGCGGCTGCATGCTCCAGGCGGGCCGCAGGGCGCGCTGCGACGGCAGCTCCGACCGCTCCAAGCTCGCCGCCCCGCCCCCGCCGACGCCATTGTTGTTGATGTTGTTGATGTTGTTGGCGACCTGCTGCTGCTGACCGCCGCCGCCGCCGCCGGGGTCCATGGTGGTGGCGCCGGTCGGTCGAAAGTGCAGCCGGGGGCCTCAGGGGAGCGGCACGCTGGAGCCGCGGGGGAGGGTGGGGCGCGCTGAGCCCATGGCGGTGCCCCGCGGCCTGGGCCTCGGCCTGGGCAGGGCAGGACCATCACGCATTAAACACCCGTCTCTCTCTCTCCCTC